ATCAATAAGACGGGGGTCAGTTTAAACTGGTCCTATGGTTACAATAACCCAAGGACAGGAAATATAGTGGGTCTCACAAGGAACTGAAGTTGAGAAATTAAACACATGTATTTGCATAACTGTCTGTATCCAACAGGATCTCTTGAGTTTGGCTTCAGGCTAAGTTTGACCAAAGTCAGGTATATCTATTCCCTCAACTCCCTCATGGAAGGATTTTCATGGGCTGGCTGTGTTTCTATACCCAAAGCTGGCTCCCTCTAAGGCGGCCCTTTCCACACAGCTCTCTCTCACTTTCCAGCTTCCAGTAACTCCTCCTTCCCCTCAGGCTAGGGGGTAATAAATGCACTTACTAGTACTGATTACTGCATTGCCTACAGTGATTTCCGTACATCCTCCCCATATCTTTGGAAATTCTCTTATTAAACTCTCTTCAAATTACCCATCTGTTTTCCGTTGTCATCCTGACTGATACAAACTCCAAATTAACTATATCTAAATCTCTATAGTAATAATTTTAAAATATCCATATGATTGTGGCATTTGGAATTTCTTCTTTTGGTATGGGTGCATTATATTTTCCTGTCTTTCCTTTTTCACTCAAGTTTTAGGCATGATGCTTAAGTACTTTTACTTCTGAGAAAGAAGGGAAACTATTTTTATACTTCTAGCTTCCTAATGAGATCTTCCTGAAAACTGGAGAGCAATTACAAGGCTTTTCTTAAGGTGGAGAGAGGAAAAACTAGATTTGGGTTAAAAAGGGTTGGGGTTAGGGGTTTATGATAGTAACCTCCAAGATGACTCAAATAATACTTGCCTCTTATTATTTATGCCCTTGTATGATCCCCTTAATTGAATCAGGGCTAATCTCTATGACCAATAGAATACTATAGTGTGTGACTTCCCAATCTATGTTATAAAAGGTATTGAAGCTTTTCCTTGTGCTCTTAGATCATTTGCTGGGGGTAAATAGCTACCCTGTTGCAAGGACATTCAAGCACCCCTGTGCAGAGGCCAATCAGGAGAGCAACTAAAGGTTCCCACCTATGGTGGGAGTGTAAACTGGTGCAGGCACTATGGAAAACAGTATGGAAATTCTTCAAAAGATTAAGAATAGAATTACCATATGATCCAGGTAGTCCACTGCTGGATATTTATCCAAAGAACATGAAAATACTAATGCATAAAGATATATGCACCCCTATGTTCATTGCAGCATTATTCACAATAGCCAAGACTTGGAAGCAACCTAGGTGCCCATCAAGAGATGAATGGATAAAGAAGATGTACATATATATATATACACACAGAGGAATACTACTCAGCCATAAGAAACGATGAAATCCAGCCATTCATGACAACATGGATGGACCTTGAGGGTATTATGCTAAGTGAAATACATCAGAGGGAGAAAGTCAAATACCGTATGATCTCACTCATAAGTAGAAGATAAAAAAAGTGACAAACAAACACATGGTAACAGAGATTGGATTGGTGTTTGTTAGAGGGAAAGCCTGGGAGGGAGGAGGGCAAAAGGTGTAATTAGGCATATGTATGTGGTAATAGATTATAATTAGTCTTTGGGTGATGAACATGATGTAATCTACACAGAAATTGAAATATAATGATGTACACCTGAAATTTATATAACATTATAAACCAATGTTACCTCAATAAAACAAATAAAATAACAAACGTTTCCATTGAGGAAAAAAAAAAGGTTCACACCAACAAACAGAACCAATTTGCAAGTCATATGAATGAGTCAACTTGGAAGCAGTTAGGCAGCCTGCAGATGTTTGCATCGGATTGCAATCAATGAGACACTCTAAGCCAATGAGACTCTAAGCCAGAACTGCTCAGTCAAGCCAGTCCCAAATTCCTGATCCCCAGAAACTGTGAGAGGTCATATTTATTGTTCTAAGCCACTAAGAGGTGGGATAATTTATTACAAGAAGTAAAGAACTAAAACAAAGTTGAACAGAAGAATGTGTTCTGACTCTCATTCCAGATTATGGATTTGAGGGGGAGCAGAATACACCACCCCAAAATGTGCCACTTTGGCATGTGGATTGTTTTGAGATGAAGGCAATTAAGACTCAGCAGACACAGGAAACCTTTCTGTCTCTTTCTTAACTGCCTAAAAAAATTTAGGCAGGGGGCCTGTAGACAGAAGAGAGCTGTTACCAGAGACCACTTTCCATATCAGAAAGAATTCACCACGTGGCAGGGCAAACATTTGTTTGCCAAACATTTGCTCTTCTCATCTTCCTGTGATTTGTCTTCCTCTCTTTTGAAGGCCCAGACCCCTACCCCTTTCTGCTTAGCTCAGGATGGTACATAAGCCTCAGCTACCCAACTGCCTATGACCTCATATTTCTATGGGGCTCCCATATGTACGAAATTTGTTTTTCTCCATTAATTTGTCTTATGTCAATTTAACTATTAGACCAGCCAAAGAATCTAGAAAGGAAGAAGGGAGAAGTTTTCTGCTCTTACAGAAGCTATAAATTATAGGACAAGAGACAAAAGTTCAAAGGGTTGTGCTGTCCAGGAGGCACAATTTGAATTGCTTAGAATTCAAATTCAAAAAATCACTTTGACTTTATTCCGTATGTGACAGATGTTTGGATTTCATAAGGTCTAAAGAATTTGAGGTGGGTGGGCCCAAATTTAGGCAAGTCTAGAGCTGTCAAGCCTTGCAATGTAGAGGGCTTTGAAGCTTAAGTACAATTTTACTGAGCAGTATGAAGAGGCAATCAGTCTCAAATGGGACTTTAGTAGGTAAGAGTTCAGCCATGGAGGAAGAGAATGGAGAGGCGATCTGGGGCCAATGGAAAATGAGAGTGAAGCCATTGAATTGGAAATGCTTTATCTACGTATAAAGAAGCACAAGTGTCTCACAGGAGATGTTCCTAGATTAAATCTTGCCCTTACCACGTGATGGCCATAATGTACGCTACTGTTCTTGTACAATGATCATTTTCAAATCATGTTTAACACATAGATGCTGGTTTCTTCCTTCACTGTGTTCATATGTTTGTCTTTTCTAAAATTTGTGGTAGCCAACTTCTAAGCAAATGATTGATTTTTTAAAATTTTTTTTAAATGCATATATTTTAACAAACATGATGTGCTTATAAACACGTTAGTCTTCATCTATCTCCCAAGGGTTTTCTGGGATAGTTCCAATTAAAAATATTCTATCATGTTGTTATATCATATGTTAGACCAATGTGTCTTGATTTTTTTGTTTCAGAAAAAAAAGTCATTGCAGATCATTTCTTACTATGTTAAGAAGCTTGAACTGAAAAAGAACAATATATGAAAATAGGAGAGATGTGAGCAGAAGCAGCCAACTGGCATCCATGCTTGGGGTTTACATGCAAATTAAGTTCTTCTTTGCTTTCCAACACTTCCCAAATTCTTTTAAAACCATATTTGAAGCTGGAGAGCAACTCTATATGAAGACATCGGCGATATAAATAGGGACAGCATTGTGTTGGGTAGAGCACTGCCAGGAATTGACAGGACCAACAGATAAAACCAAAGCAATTAAGTTTCCATAAACACTTGACTCGGTGTTGAATCAACACTCTTCTTTATAAACAGCAGTGTAGCAAGACATAAATGACAAATCATACATTTCCAATATATAAACCGTGCTGGTTTGATGAAGTAACAGAATTCTTTTCCAGCTTTCTTTTTACAACATGGGAGAAAAAAAAGTTCCTCAGTAATTTGTGGGTTTTACTTCAGAGATCATGTGAAATTCTGTGTGCAGAATGTTAAAGGATTTGTAGATGAGCTTTGGCATGCTTCCAGCTTAATCCCACCCCCCCTCCAACAACCACAAATACTCTTACGGCTACAGGTGAGCAATTTTTGAGTGACGTTTAGTCCTCCGCTCCCTCAGACTGTTTTACAGACATTCATTATGAACTCTTAGGCAAGGCCATAAAATTCTGTCTCAAAAGCCTCCAACCATTCTGTTATTTTTTATTTTACATCCCCCACCTGAACACATAACACAAAATAACTCATGGCTATACACCCTTTATCTTATTTTGTTCCCTTGTAGATATTCAATTGAACTTTCTCAGGCAAGATCTGATGAAAACATTTTTATTAAATAATAATGTCTTCTTTCTTCCAAAGAACAAAGCCATAATCCACCATGGAAAAGAAAAAAAGAAAAGGATACCAGCAAGCCACGTAGATAGAGACTTCAATATAAATGGCCATATCCTAATATGTGCAGACATTTCCCAAATTTTAAGAATAATAAAATAAATCAAAAACCTCTGATTATGCCTGGTTTCAGAGTGAGTTTTCCACTCTCGTATATGATTGCTGTCTGTGCAACAATGTCCTTCTTTGCTTTAGAAGTCCTATTTACCATTATCAAGCTCAAATGACATCTGGAGAATGTAGTATTTTACTATTTAGTGTAATATGATATAGTATTTCCAGACTTTTCAAGGCAGTTAGCTGCTTCCGAATCACTTCTGGACAAATATCTATTAGAATGCTCCCCTATTGACGATAGTTTTCCTATTGAACAAGAAGTTCCTTAAGAAAATGGACTATATATCTTTTCATTCTGAGAATCTCAAAGTGTCTGGCATTTATAAGGCTGTTGCCATAAATGCACTGTTATGAGCTATATGCCAGGTACTAGACTGCAATTTTCCTGAGATTGTGCACTTTCTAAGTTTGGTTTTCTATGTGTCCTCCACGTCTGAAAGAGGGCATGGTTCATCTTAGTACCTCAATAAATATGTAGTGAATGCATGAGTGCATGCGTGCGTGTAATAAAGCTGATAAGTTGCTTCTCTTCTTCAGGCCATGGGGTCACTTTCCCTTTCAGGGCTCTTGCTATCTGATTGCGGCTCCACTGAATCATGCAGGTGATCTCTGCAGCTTGTTCCAAACATGGAAGTTTAAGGCTGGTGACGTCCACTGATGACGGTGGATTATAAACCAGAAATGCATCCACAATCATGATTTGCAATCTTCACAGGCTCTAGATTTGTTCTGATTACTATGCGTTTGTGCCCTTTGCCTGCTGTAAATTCCTGGATGTCTTGTAAGCATTTTCCTTGCACTGACTTCTTCATAGAGCAAATCTTTCCTGTAGGGGGCTGTTGCGAGGCATTAGCACACTATCTAGCCAAAGATCTGGGTCTCATCGGGACACTGAACTTTACAAATTGTGTGAACTTGGGTAAGTTATATAATGTCTTTGTCAGTTTACTCATTGGAAAAGTGGTATTAATAATAATGACTGCCTAATAGCACTGTTATGGTGTTAAATAAAAGATTATCTTATTTAATAATGCAGTCTTATCTTAATCCGATCCATTATAATCTAAAAGTAAATTGTGGTTATTCTATGCTTTTAACAAAAGAATTAATAAACTTAAACACACTATGCAAATGTAAACCAGTATTACTTATTCAGATCGTCCTCATGAACTTCTTGTAGCAGGGCTAAGGAGAAACTATTTTTCATGTAGGGCCAGTTACCATGTAGTAATATAGATCTTAAAGTGACAGGGTAAGGATCGTTTAGGTCATGAACTATATGACACTGCTTCCAAAACAACTAGCCGGTCATCCTCACTCAGCCAGTGGCCCTCTGTCCCTTCTCTAACTGAAGGCAGGCTTGTTTCAGACTTTACCGTGGGGAGTCTCTGGGCATTTCATGGACTGTCACAAATCAGGTAACTCTATACATGAATATGTTTCTATATTTCATTATATTACATTGGTCCATGTATCTGCACTTGTGCCCCTAGTACACTCAGTTTTACCTCCTACAGTATTATAGTAAGTCAATATCTCATACTATATGTCCTCCAGCTTTATTCGTCTTCAATATTTCATCAGTGTTGAATCAAGCTTCTATAAGAAAATAACTTTATGACTTAGTTCTGGGATGACAGACATTTCTTAAATATGATGGACACACACACAGATACAAACACAGCATTAACCATTAAAAAACAAAGATAAACTGGTCATATTTAAATTAAAAACTTCTAACAAAAGATAACTACTAACAGAGTTCAGAAAATAAGCCACAGACTAAGAGAAGATATTTGCAGTACATACGTTTGACAAATATCTTGATCCAAATCTCAAGAACATGTAGAGAATTCCTACAAACCAATAAGAAAAAGAGTCAATCTTATTATAACAGTGGGCAAAAGATTTGACAAAAACTTCACAAAAGATGGTATCAAAGTGGTTGATAAACAATTAAAAATGTGTTCAATATCAGCCTTTAGACAAGTACAAATTAAAAACCATGTTAAAATACCATTAGACAAACATAATACATAAAACTAAAAAAAAAGACTGAGAATACCAAATATGGGTGACGATCTGAAGCTGGTAGAAATAGCTATAACTGTACAAAAAGTATAAATTGCTATAACGGCTTTGAAAAAATATTTGACAGTACCTACTGAAAGAAACCATATATACATCATATGACTCAATAATTCTGCTCTTGGGTATATACATATTTTTTAAAGTGAATAATAATACATACTAAAAGATATTTGGATAAAATGCTCATAGAAATTTTATTCATAATAGCTTTAAACTAAAAACAAACCAAATGTTCACTAATAATAGAATGGATAAATAAATTATATTGTTGCATACAGTAGAATATTACTGTATAATAAAAATAAACTTCACATGCAACAAGGATGAATCTTACAGGCACTAAATTAAGTGAAAGGTATAAAAATCATATTCTACCTATACAAAGTTTCAAAACTGGTAAAACTAACCCATAGTTATGGAAATCGTAACGGCTTTTGCTCTTGGGAGTTATTGACTGGAAGGAAGAACCAGGGACCTTCTTGGGTGCTGAAACTGTTATGTACATTGCTTTTGGTGGTGGTTACATAGGTGTATATATATTTACAAATTTATCACTCTGTACACTTTAGATTTATGTACTTTGCTAGATGTAAGTTATACCTTAATAAAATTTATTTTAATTGACAAATTAACTGAGGCAAAGAAGATAAAAAGGATTGATGATATTTTCCTTGTAGAGTTCATTCTTGTGATTTCTTTGATTAAGGCAAGGAAGACACTGTTCTTCATGTAAGTGCCTTCTGAGAAGGTCCTGGTCTAACAATTTCACACAGGAGGATGCATTCCCAAGGGCGTGCCAGAGGGCAGTACTCAATTCTCCTGTCTTTTCCCTCATTCTTGATCTTTCCTCTTACTAAATATTAACTTGCAAATATCCATATTCTGTTTCTATATTAATAAGAAATAAAATCTGAAACAGAAATGCAAGAAAAATAAATTTAGATAAGTGTATCAATTTCTCGTATTATTATCTGAAAATATTTTAAGAGTTTTGGCTTAAAATTGCCTACTGTGCATGAAATGATTGCGTTGAGTAGGGATTGATGCCGAAGTCAATGAGGCGATGTTTCTGCTGCTTCTGTTCTAAAGAGCTGCCTTTACCTGAGTACAAGTGACTGTAATTCCTCGGTTAAAATGGCCTACTTAGTTTCCAGGTCTGCAGTCCTCTAGGCAGTGGAGAATCATTTAAATCATTCTGGAGAACTGGCCCCGGTCCAGGCCCTGGAACTAAGCCTGTCGTTAAGTGTCCAGTGAAAAAGCCTCAGCCTGGGTCCCCAGAGGCTCTTACCCCAGGCCCACTTACCGCATGACCTCTACTCAAACGCTGAGTCAAGCTGTCCAATTCTAATCTTGATGCCTGCACCTGTGTTACTTCTGCAGGATTTGCTGTTTGGCATAATCTCTGCCTATTGTCTGCCGCTTTCCATCCTGTCAGCCCCACCCTCTTACTCTATCTCTAAGGACCATCCCAGAGCCCAAAGTCTGCAATTTCATAATAATTCTGGGCCAACGGAGATACCTTCATAATTACCTGGGTTCAATCCTCATTCTAAAATGCTTAATGTACTACTGATGCCCAAGTACTAACCTTACTTTCACATTTTGACTCAGTTGTTCCAAATGGATACTTGAAACTTAAGTATTAACAAAGACCCTCCTATTTTCTTTGTAGCCTCTGTTTTCCATGGAGTTTTAGGTTAAGAGTACACATTCTACCTATTCATAAACCCCAAACCAAATCTGAGGCTCAAAAATCTAAGGGTCTTGTTTTAGCACTTACTCTTCAGCTTAGTTGCCCTTAATTTTGACCAATCAAAATTCTTTGGAGGAGCCAAACATGTTAAGGTAACTATAATCCCAATTGGCTCTAATTGTCTCATAATCATTCTCAAGAGGTCACAATACATTTTCTTGTGGTTGCTTTCAATTCTTGGACAGAATATAAATTCTGGCATTAAATCATCAAGATATAGTATTGTATCCAATTCTTTACATATTTTATATTGTAAAATGATAATTTTTCACCCATTTATGACAGATGAAAGATACCATATCTGTATGTAAAATATCAAGGTTGCATTTATATATTTCTAATACTATGAGTGGTGTTATGTGTTTTTAAAGGCCTTCTATCAGAATTAATTACAGTCTATTTATAAAATGTGGTATGCCTTCAAATTTAGATTATGAAGTCCATTAAGCAGATTGCAGATATTCTTCTGAAAAGAATAATGGTAGTTCACTGTAAAGAGTTGGTGGTGTCATGTAGCCTTATAAATTTGAATGCCATCTATATCTTCAACATATTAGATTCATTCTGTTTAAAAGGAAGCTGATTTTCAGAGAACTTGTGGATTTATCAGTGTCATAGATGATAGAAGAACTAGGATGAAACACTAGTATTTTAACTGTAGGATCTGTATGATTTTTGTTATATCACACTGTATTGAATTAACAGATTGTGTGTGTGTGTGTCTAAAATAGCCAATTATTTCAACTGTAGAAAAATAAATTTATTAAATATTTATTAAGCATTTATGTATCAGATACACTTAGAAGTAAAGCTAGATTTATATCATCTTAAAAGAAAAAAGTCCAAAAATTTCAATCAATTTTCAATTCTGGAGCTCAAACACTACGGTAAGTCATAAAAAAATAAATCCTTAAAATGCCTGGGTGTTTGTGTTAAAATATTCATAGCAACACTATTTACACAGAAAAATATCAATAACTTAAAACCAAATTTCAGCCAAAATCTTAAGTAAATAACAAGTTATTTGCGTTATCAAAATAATGCTCAAAATAAATGTACAATAAAAATAGAAATTCTGGGAGAATACAATATTTTATATAAATTATGTGTCTATGTGAAAATGTAAGTACTGAATTTGTACAGAAAGAGAAAAAAGGCTTGAAAGATAAAAATCTAAGTTAATGTTAGTTGTTTGGTGTGAAACAGGTATACTTTTTTGGTATTTCTTTAACCTTTTATAACAGGTAAAATTTTTTGAGGTACACTTGAGATAATTGTTAGTGTATATCCATGAAAACATCATAAAAATTAAGATAATGGTCATACACACCACCTCCAAAAATTTTCCCTCAGAAAATGCAACAACAGACATTATAAACAGCCTCATAATGGGGGCTAACTTGAATAATAATGCTTCAGTGAATATATATACATATATGTAGTGTTAGAGTGTGGGGGATTTAAACATTAATGTGTGTGTGTATATATCAACCCGCTATATTTCAGAAGCTCCTGTTTTATTTTTTCGTCAATTATCTTGGGGGAAAATCATCTGCTTTACTGAATTTTTTGAGGATAAAGTAAGAGAATGGGATGCATATTTCATCATCTATGTCACTATATTATTGTAAATCTTAGAATTTGAGAGTATGTGACATTTTGGAGAGAGAAAGAGAAGAAGGGAAGGAAAGAGATGAAAAAAAGTGTTGAAGGAAAGCTTGTTTGCGTGAGTATGTTCGCTGAAAGAATTGATTTACAGAATTCCCCTCATATCAAATCTGTTTGGCAGTGGCTGGGGGAAGCTTGAGAGGAACAGCAAACCAAATTGTGTGTATTATTCTGCACAAATCATCCAACCTGCTCTTAGAAAATTATCTTTAAAATAAGAACCAAATTGTCAGCCCTTTCTGCTTCCCATTCAGCAGGATGGATTCAGAAATAAACTTGGCAAATTGTGAAAAGAAAGTGCCAATCAAATTTAATAACCTATGCTTATTAATATCCTAGAGTCAGCAATGTACATCAAAGGAGGGGGTATATTCGCTCTGATTTGCCTGACTCACAATGACAATCATTCTTAGCACAGTGATCAGATACAGAATATTTCTAAGTCATAGACATAAATTATTAGCACCAAGATCACCCCTCTTCTCTGTAGGCAACAGAATCCAAATCTATTCTTGTTGTGGTTTTACATTAGTTTCCTGTTGCTACTGCAACGAATTACTATAAGGTTAATGTCTTAAAATAACATAAACTTATTATCTTACAGTTCTGGAGGTCAAAAGCCCAAATGGGTCCCACGGGGTTAAAATCAAGTGTCACTAGGGAGACTCCAGGGGAGAGTCCATTTTCTTACCTTTTCGGACTTGCAGAGCTCACCTGTATTCTCTGGCTCGTGGTCGCTTTCTCTGTCTTCAAAATCAGCAATGGCCAGTCAAGTCTTTCTCATCATCCATCACTGACATTGCCTCCTTCTCCCACATTTAAGTACCCTTGTGATTCCAGTGAGCTCACGTGGATAATCCAGGATAATCTCCCTACTTTAAAGTCACCTGATTAGCAATTTGCATTGCATCTGCTACCTTAATTCTCTTTTGTCACATAATGTAACATATTCAAAGGTTCCAGGGACTAAGACATTAAGTCTGTTATTCTTCCAGTCACAGTTCTGTCTTCCTCTCTTGGTCCCAATAACTAACATATTAGATCTTGTTCTGATCCTGCAGGTGTCTTTTTGCAGATAATGCAAATATATGTAAAAGTGGTTCAAAAAAAGGCTTATTACAAAACATTATCCCATGAATTGACAACAATGTAAAATTATGTTACTTTTCTTTTCAGAGATGACAATGAAACACTTCTTGTTTTTGGCTGCTGCTGCTGCTGGCTTCCTGCCTGTTGTGATCATAAGAGTATGTGAGGATTGTATGTTTCATAATTACTTTCCAGAAAAGGATAAGAGCTAACTCTGGAATAGAACTTACTTTGTTACAGACACTGTTGTGAGGACTCTATGCCCATTACTCACCTAGTTCTCACCATAGCCCCATTAGGCAGGAACTATTCTTAATTCTGTATTACAGAGAAAAGAACGAAAGCCTAGGGAAGTTAAGTCATGTGGCCAAGGTCAGATGACTAGGAAGTGGCAGAGCACGAAAGTGAACCTAAGCAGTTTGGCTCCATGGGCCCATGCCCACTTCATTATAGCCCAGCTGGATAATTGAAAAAAGCTAAGAATTTCGAGCAGGAATTACTTCTTTATAACCTATCCATGCATTTTCCATGACTAAATGGGAAAAAAATACTTTTTTTCGCCCTGAAAAGGTAAGTATTTCAACAATATCCCAATTGAACTATCTGATTTGTGACTATTAATAAGACTCTAACACATAAAAATTAAATATAAAATGAAAGATGCCAACAAGCAGAGGAGCATGAGGAGCTGTTACCACTGGAGTCAATGCAGTCATGTGTTGCTTAATGACAGATACACCTTCTGAGAAATGCATCGTCAGGCAGTTTTGTCATTGAGTAAATGTCAGAAAGTGGACTTGCACAATCCTGGATGGTATAGCCTACCACACACCTAGGTTGTAGAACACTAATCTTATGGGACCACATCCTTGCCAACACTTGACATCTTTTGATTTTAGTAATATCCCTCCTAACAGGTATGAGGTGATATCTCTTTGCGGTTTTGATTTGCATTTTCCTGACAGTTAGTGAGGTTACAGACTTTTTCATATACCTGTTGGCCATTTGTGTGTCTTCTTTGGAGAAATGTCTGTTCACGTCCTTTGTGTCTTTTTTTAATCAAGTTTCTGTTTTGTTTTTGCTATTGGGTTGTATGAGTTCCCTATATATTTTGGATATTAACCCATTATCAGATAAAGATATATAGTTTGAAATATTTTCTCCCATTCTGCAAGTTGCCTTTTCATTTTGTTGGTAGTTTCCTTTGCTGTGCAGAAGCTTTTTGGTTTGATGTAATTCTACTTATTTTCAAGTTTATTGTCTGTGCTTGCCAAGACCAATGTCAAGGAGATTTTTACCTATGTTTTCTTCTAGGAGATTTATGATTTCAGGTCTTGCATTTAAGTCTTTAATTCATTTTGAGTTGATTTTTATGTATGGTGTAAGATAAAGGCCCAATCTGATTCTTTTGCATGTGGATATCCAGTTTTAAATTTGCCAAAAGGATAGATCTTATATCAAGTGCTTTTATCACATACACAAAATAATAGCAATAGTTATAATAAAAAGGGCAGGAGGAAATTTGGGGAGGTAATTAATATGTTTATGGTCTTGATGGTGAGTGATTTTTCATGAGTGTATATTTATCCCCAAACTCATTGAGTTGTACACATTAAATATGTATAACTTTTTACATGCCAATTCTACCTTAATGAAATAATTTTAAAAAAAGTAAAGTATGACCTGTTCTGTAGTACCACAAAAGAGAAGGAGGAAAGAATGAAAGCAGATACAGGCAGACTAGTAGACTGGGACAAAGAAGACAAAGCAGCTGCCCTCTGATAGCTTCTCTCTACTGAGAGAAGTAGGACATATCACAATCTATTGAGAGAGGTATATGCAATGGGGGTAAAGTGCACAAGTTCTGTGATAACATTGTGGAGAGAGACAAGATGAGTTCACCAAGCAAATGAGTAGAACTGATGAGCAGAATTAAAGGACAATTTGAGATCAGACATCCTGATTTTGGATATATCAATATTTGTCATTTTGTGTGATATTTTTCTGCCAAGAGCTCACCTGACTTAGTGCAGACAGGGGAATTTTTTGTACCTTCCAAAGTTTGGATGTTCCTGGATGGGAGTGGGTAGGTCAAAGATTCAATATTTTCGCAAGAGAGTTATTGAAATAAGAAAATATGGACAAGAAAAAATGCAAAAACAAGAGAGGGCAAATAGAGAAAGTGAAGAATGAGCTAGAAGGCTAGATTATGTTGAAAAGAGAGTGATTGACCTTAACAACTTGGAAGAACAGGAAATCCCGGTCAGGTGAGGAAATGCTTGACCAGGTGATTGGGAGGTATGGCATTTTGGAACGATCATGAGATATACGTTGTAAACATCATGGTGGGAAAATAAAGAGGCTTGAAGGAAAGGTTCAAGAAGAGTTCAAAGGCCTGAGACATCAGATGGTTGGGGATATCCATGGTCATGCTAAAGTTCCTCGAGTTGACTGCAGAAACCAGGGTGGACAGCATGAATTTGTTTCAGAAACCCAATTTCTATGAATGACAGGAAGTGACAGGAAAACTGTTATGAGAGTAAATATTCAGAGACGAGGCAGTAGAGCTAAATGTCATGAGTTTCACTGGAGCATGATTTGTCATAGGAACAAAGAGAGTTATAATCTGGAAATGGTAAGGGGATTCTTGTGGGTTCCCAATCTCTCCCCTAGTTTAGAACAGAGCTGCCTGTGGTATGACAGGAGAATAGCATCACATGAGTGTGCTTTTGAGGAAATGATGTCCACAGGGGACAGTCTCTAGAGAGTTCTTCTCGATTCCACATTTATACCTTCTCCCCATACCCTAAAACTGTTGAAATAAAATAAATGAAAATAACTGCCTCTATATTTGAGTGAGGTATGGCACTGGGTCCTATTCATTCAGAAGCTACATTGATTGTCCTGTGGTAGTTGAGAAATAAATAGATACTGCTCAAATTATACTAAACCATGTGCCACTTTTTAAAAAAAGGTATGAATTACATGTAACATATCGCACACACGAAAGAAGCTGCTCTTTATAGCAATTAATGCTAACCTAAAATATTAAGGACGTTTATTTTTCTTCTTAGTAAGTTTCAGGACAAAAGATAAACAAGTTAAAAGAACAGCCACAAATTCTATAATGTAGCTGATTTGAATTCTATTTTTATACTTACACATACGGGTGCAAATATTAATGTTTTCTCACATGAATGAGATAAAGATGTAGAGTCTGAGTTGAAGGTGCTGGAGGCTTTGTACTCAATAATGAATCTCTCAGATTAGGTTCTGCCAGACATATTCCATCAGACAATGGTCAAGTGACAGTGTTTTATTTGGGAAGCAAAGAAAACATTCATTGGAGGTAGAGTGAGGAGTGCACCAAGGAAGGGAAGTCAGTCAGAAAAGGTGTGAGATCAACACACTCTGGTTCATATTGCCCAATAAAAAGTGCTTCAACATGGCCCAAAATACCAATCACAAATTTGAAAAACCCCAATCACAGAATATCCAGTGCACTATTCTATAGACTTGAATAATGTCAGACTGACATTTAGAAATCCTCAAAATTAGCACTGGAGAAATGGAAGCTAATATACTGAGATAGTGTGGGTTAAAAAATGCTGTAGATTATCATTTATTTAATATAAAATATAAATTCATATTACATATAGGTCTGCAAGTGATATGTTATACATGACAAATTCCACTTAAAAGAAGAGTAATTAATAATTTTCTGATAACAGGCTAAACCAGCTAGCGTTCCATATCATACGCTTCTCACTGAGTTGGCAACTGTCCAAGAAGAAATTGTTACTGTACATAATACTCTCAGAAGAGGAGTAGTTCCGCCAGCCAGCAACATGCTGAAGATGGTAAGATTAATTAAACAGCAACAACAATGATGCAGTAATAGTAATGGTGTTTACTGAGATTTTATTAAGTTATAAGTACTTTTAATATGCTAAAAGTTTGGTCGTCACAAACAAACCTATGAGAGGCAGAAGAAGAAAGAGGCCCAGAGGAGGTAAGCAACTTTCCCCAAATCATACAGAGCAACGGACAAATGACAGAGCAGCTATTCCAACTCAGACAGCCTAATTTCATTCATAATGTACCCTAGGACAGTGCGTCTCAAACTCGAGGGTGCTTAAAAACCCTCTGAAGAATGTAGCAAAGCACAGGGTCCAGGGCTCCACACTCTGAGATCCTGACTTGAGAGGTCTGTGGTGGAGACCACCCCAAGCTCCCAGCCAATGCTGATGCTGAGAGTCAGTATAGTCTGTATAGCAAACCTTGTCTAACAACTTACAGAGGAATTTCATAATTGTCTTCACTGGGCAGGAGCATGGAGGCTAAGACACTCTCTATGAGTCAAGATGTCCAGATTCTAGGCTAGCTGATGCTTCCAGATAAACAAAAGTTGGCAAATCTATTCCCCAGTTCCCTTGCATCTCATAAAAGGAGAGAGAAATTGTCTTTCCACTATAAACCTGCTGTGTGAGCAGACTAGGTGCTATAAAACAAAACAAATTTAGAAAAGGCTCAGGTGTATGACTAGGCTTGCATGTATTGTCTCCCAGGAGTATTGCTCAGGTTTTGGGAAACCTTATCCTGGTTCCTGGAACCCTGGATGGGCTTAAAGGAACAAGAGTTAGAAACAGAGCAGGCGCTAGAGGACGATTCTGAGGGACAGCTTCCTCGTGGAAATGATGAAGCAGAGGAAGCAAGTGAATAGAAAAATGATTTCAAAATTTATCTCTTGGACATCTTAGTCCAAAATGCTATTGGAAAAAAGCAATAAAAATCAATAGCTATCATAGGCATTCTTGCATAGTAAGTGTTGTAGCTGACATGCACAGGATGCTTACTATTGACAGGAACTCTTCTGGAACCTTATTACATTAATTCATTTATTTCTTTCAATAATTCTGTGATGTAGATAGTATTATTATCTCCATTTTACAGATGATAAATCTGAACCTTAGAGAAATTAGGTAGCTTATCCAAAGTCATAAGTACTGGATAAGTATAGATTCAAATGCAAATAGGCCAGCTCCAGGGACCTGTTCTTAATCACTCACCTCTCTTAGGACAAACTCCTTGGTTTCCAGATGAGCAAATGAGTGCAGCCAAAAGGTGTTAAAAAGGTTATAGAGTAAATGGAAAATATAGCCTCTGATTTCAGAGACTTTATTATTGTGGATTAAAGGTGAATAAACAGGAAACATTAAAACATAACATAAGAATGAATATGCTCAAGTGCTAAGGAGCAGAAGTAGGAGAGATGAAAAGGATGATAGATTATGTGCACCAGTAAAACTGAGTAACATTTTAAAGGGAGTATGGGAGTTGAGTTGTTCCATAAACAGTGCATAGGACACAGATGAAAAGGAACTTATACAATTATAGTGGGGCTGAAGAGTCAATCACAACTACCAGGCAGAGATTTTTCCAAAATAGAAAAAATTTTCTGTACGTAGGATTAGAATCTGATTAAATAGAACCATTTGTTCAAGCCAGAATTCATAGCTTTGGTGCAATACCATGAATACTCACTTGTGATTTTAATCACAGATGTATCACAAAAAAGGAGTATCTTACCAACATTAATCAGAAGTAATGTCCTAGAGAGCTTCCTCAAAGAGGTCTGAACTACAGAGGGCATGTAATGAATGCTGCAGGTAGTTTACACAATAAGATAAGGAGGCTCTGAGATGGAGATTATCATGAAGGACGTTTACTGGGGAAGAATCTCCAGATTTACACCTACCTATGGAGGTAGGGAGAGAAGCAGGATGGATACTTGGAGCAGTTGGGCTGTAATGTAGTCACAGCAGAGGCCTCAGCTAGTTCTACAGAAGCTATACAACTAGGACAACCCTTTGAGTTGTTGTGACTTGGAGGGAGGTAGCCTGGCATTTACAGTTGCCGCATCTACTAGCTGTTGAATATGGACTGTCCCAGGGAAGGGATTATGCTCATGGATGAAGACAATTTTTAAAGAGGATAGACAGTAGAGCTATCTGTGGGTAGGACTCTGTAGGGGAGGAAGACATTTCCTCTACCCACTGTGGGTTCTTCTGGCCGGAGAACGAATTAAATTCACATGAGACAGAATAACAGGAGAAAATTAAACAAAGACTTATAACACGTGTACATGGGAGAGGCTCAGGCAACCTGAGCAACTCACCAAAACGGCTGAAGCCACCACTTTAAATATCACATTCAGCTAAACACAAAGGAGGATGTTGGGGGTGGGGGGAGTCAGTTACAGGAGGTTACCAGACAAGCACAATAAACAGGAAGAAGATTATTATACAGATTTAAGTCCTTGCCTTCTGCATTGAGAAGAGCTTCTAGAGATAAGGTCATCCCCCTTCTTCCTGGTACAGAGAGGCAGACACCTTTACAGATGGAGATTTCCCTTACAAATGTAAATGTCTCCTAACAAAGGGTAAGTAAATTCTACTTTTCAGTTGCTTTCTTGTCTGCAGTTTATTAAAAGTAATCAACCCCAAACAATCTTCATGCCAAAGACATATCTTGGGGTGGCCAATTCCAGGCCCCCGCAACTCCCAACTTAAGAGGAAATAAGTGCTTCGATCCAAAAAGGGACTTGGGTAGTGCATGGTAGCATGCGTGACAAGCAATCAGCTATAACTTAGCCGATGACTTCCAGTTCTAACCAATTGGCAACTTGGTCATAACAGGGAGGATTTTTTACTAGTGAGTGAAATGGTGGTATTCCCACTGCCAGGAGATCTTGTGCCCTAAGGGGATGTGTTGTGTCATCTCTGCTGCTTCAGTTAGACATATCCATTACTAAAACACATCTTTTCTTTAGTGAAACAATCAAACCCTACAAAGCCATGTTTTTACTTTGAGCCTAGGTTAATGAGTTACTTAATTCATCTCACGGTTTAGTAAATTCATCAACTTGAGGAGTAATTCTATGAAACTAACACAGATGGCAGCATATACATATATCTGTTAAACTTCCATCATGCCAGGAAAAATACTGAAAATCTAAGTTAGGGTGTCATCCAAAAGTTATTCTAAAAAGTAGCTAAATGATTTATGTAAAAGCCTATAGTAAAAAACAAACTCCACAACTTTCTTTGGTAATGTGCAGCATGCACATATTGGGACAGTCTTTTAAGCGGATGGACACAGTGGGAGGATGAAAGCATGTTAGTGAGAACATTTGTCACAGGGTCCCCTAACTAGTGATATAGACTATCTGCCTTTCACCCTTCTTGAAGGTATATATATCCAAGAAAAGGCTTCAACTCAGCACAACTGATACACATTGAGAATTAATAGCACACCCTCAGCAGACAGGATAACCTGGACTCCAATTCACTTCTTGCCACTTATTGTTGTGTTATCCTGAAAATGTATGCAGTATCTCTGTGCCTCAGTTTCCTCATTTCCAAATGGAGATAATAATAGTAGAACTGCTGTGGGTAAAAATGAGACACTATACATACAGAATTGGTCACGGATCCTGGCATGTAGGTTTAGCTATTGTTTTCTATTATTATTATTTATAATTTTAGATGGAGATGTGTGACACTGTGTACTTGCTTCTAATCACTGCCATCATTTATTTATTGAGCACATAGCATGAGATTTATCATATCACAGTAGTATTGGATGATTGTCACATTAAAACTTTTGAACAAACTATTGGGTATGAATTATGGGTCACATTTTACAGATGAAGAAACTGAGATTCAAGGAAATTAAATAGAGTGTCAGAGGTAAAACTGCTAATGAGAGATGGGGTGGATTTCTAACCCTGGTCTGTTTTACTGGAAGCATTTACTTAAACTCTTCAACACTTCTGAGAGAGAAGCCACTTCTGAACATTATTACCCAAATTTTGATTTTGTACATTCAAGGGCTAAAATGATGAACTGAAAATTCTGTCTTCCTCTTCCAACCAGAATATTTAAGAGCAGTATTATTCTTCAAACTGTTATCTCATACAGTTGAAGATATGGCTAGTCTGTGGTTTTTAGAAACAGTAAACTAGAATTGTATCTGATTCTAATAAGAAATGCCAATAAGATCATGCATTTTGTATTTTACTTGCATTTTACTCTCCTTTTGTAGAATTGGAGTGAAGAAGCTGCACAAAACGCCAGAAGGTTGTCCGCGCAGTGTGAATTGATAGAGAGCAAGGCAGTTGAGAGGAGAATTACAAGTAGGTATATGTCTATATGACCCACCTTTGTGCTCAGAAGTTCTCAGGGATTATTAGGTAACCTGGCAAGGGTCAGCTAAGTCATCCAGTCTATATTTCCATTTGCCCCCATAAATGGCAGTGAATTGTGGCCCACAGCACTATTTTGTTCTTTATCATTAATTTTTAAAATTGGATATTCAAATTTTTTCAAATTCTAGATTCTGCTCATCAGAAGTAAAGAATCAAAGCTCTCAATATTACAGACTAATTGAGTAATACAATAATGACTGGATTAATTAGCTGGACAGCTAAAAGGTTTCCACTCTATGTAGTTATCCAGCTACCCACAACATCCACCATGGCAATATCTTTAGATTTGGAACACTAAAACAATTGAGAAGTGAGTTATACCCAACTTTACTGAGCTGCCCATAAGAACAATTTTAGCTGCTCAAAAATGAGTCCATCCCATGGCGGACACTTTAGGTGGATCACTGCTACTTTCCAGAAAAGCCATTACTACACAAGTAATGTAGAAAAGCAATGTAGAAAAGCCATTTCTACACAAGTAGACATTAATAACATTTACGACATACTTATTACAAAGTACTTTTAAAATACTAATGAAACTTCCATATTTACAGATTTTTGGACATCCTTGCCCAATGTTTTTGAGCAGTGAATTAGCAGTGTGAGTCTTCCTACTATATTTACAGATTATTGGGCATCTTTTTCCATTGTTGTTGAGCTGTGAGTTAGCAACCTGAGTCTTCCCTGCCCCAGAGAAAGGCAGATCACTCCCGAAAACCATGTTTGATCAAGAGCTCACATCACAAGTGAATGCCTAAAGGAGCAAATGTTCACTTCAAGGTCCTTGCATGATGAATACCTCTGTGTGGCTACTTTCAAGCCATGGGCCTTGTTAACAACTCATAGGTTACTCTGATTTGTTTCACCCTTCTCCATCATCCAGGAAGTGTAAGAGACTGAGACGTTGGCTGATCTGATTTCCAAGCTTTTACATCATATCGTACTGTCAACTTCTCACCAAACCTGAGCAACACAAGTTCATTTATTAATAAGCAAGAAAACCGCCAGCAGAGAAACAGCTCAGTTTGCCTCCTCTTATAAGACATTACTTAGATGACCAGTCAAACATTTATAAAATAAAAATGAGAAAAGCATCCTTGTGAAACATTTCCAAGGCTTTTAGAGTATGATCCTGCCCCTTTTCCTCCTTTCAGATACCTTTTGTGGAGAAAATATGCATCTGACATCTTATCCTATCTCATGGTCAAATGTAATTGGAATCTGGTTCAGTGAGTCTAAATATTTCAAGTATGGGCAATGGATATCAACAGATGATGAAGTAATAATTGAGCATTATACTCAGGTAAACTGTGTACTCGCAAATATACACATTAGTTAAGCGACTATAAGCACGTGTGGAAAATAGGTGACTGAGAACCAGGGAAACTCATTTTACCCACTTTTTACAAACTTACACTTGACTCACTGAGTTCCTCTTATAATTTGGAACACAGGGAAATGCGATTCCCTCAATAGATGGCTTAGAGAAAATTTTTAACCTCTTAGTTTCCTTCTTTACACGTTTGGTTTCCTGGGAAGTGACAAAATCATAAAACATCAATGTCATTTATAAATTACATTTGCAATATTTGTAAAGAATGGCAATAATAATAGTGCCTTTTAATATCTCCTTCTTTCTAGTTTAATTTTATGAGGGTAAAATAATTTATATACACATGTATGTATATACACTATAAAAATGCCATTTTAACCATTTTTAAGTTATAGCATTAACATTCAGTGGCATTAGTTACATTCAAATTGTTATGCAAATATCACCACCATCTACTTCCAGAACTTTTCATCTTTCCAAACTAAAACTCTGTCCTCATTAAACAGTAACTCCACATTATTGCCTACTCTTCACCAGATTCTGGCAACCACCATTCTACTTTTTGTCTCTATGAATTTGAACACTCTAGATACCTCATATAATTGGAATAATACAATATTTGTCTTTTTGTCTGTGCCTCATTTCTCTTAGTATAATATCCTCAATCCATGTTCATCCACGTTGTAGCATGTGTCAAAAATTCATTCCTTGTTAAGGCTGAATAATATTCCATTGCATGTAAATACCACTTGTGGTTTATCCATTCATCCGCTGATGGATATTTACATTGTTTCTACCTTTTGGCTATTGAGAACAACACTACTATAAACATTGGTGTACAAATACCTGTTCGTATCCTGCTTTCAATTCTTTTGGGTATACACCCAGAAGTAGAATTGCTGAATCGTGGTAATTCTAGGTTTGATTATTGGAGAAACTGGCATGCTGTCTTCCACAACAGCTGCACCATTTTACATTCCTAGCAGCAAAGAAATTTCCAATTTCTTCACATCCACAGTGTATTGGTCTGCTTGGGTTGCCACAACAAAATACCACAGACTGGGTGGGTTAAACAACAGAAATTTATTTTCTCACAGTTCTGGAGGCTGATAGTCTGTGACCTTCTGGAGCATAGTCAGTTTCTGTGAGAGCTCTCTTCCTGGCTTGTAGATAGCCATCTTCTCACAATGTCCTCACATACACTTTCCTCTGTGCCTGCATGCAGAGAGAGAAGAGAGAGCAGACTCTGGGGCCTTTCCTTATGAAGACACTAATCCTATCAGCTCATGGTCCCCCTCTTATGACTTCATTTAACCTACATTAATTCCTTGAAGACTCCGTCTCCAAATAGAGCCACACTGTTGGGTTAAAGCTTCAGAATATGAATTTTGGGAGGACGTAAAAATTCAGTTCATAACATACATATGCTTTTTATATTTTATGTTGGTTTTTGTTTGTTTTATAATAGTCATTCTAATAGGTGTAAAGTGGTATTTCACTGTTGTTTTGACTTACGTTTCTCTAATGATTACTGATGTTGAGCACTTTTCATGTGCTTATCAACCATTTGTATATCCTCTTTGGAGGAATGTCTATTCAAGTCTTTTGCTCATTATTTAATCAGGTAGTTTGTTTTTTGTTGTTGAGTTGTAAGATTTCTTTATATATTCTAGATGTCTATCCTCTATCGATTATATGATTTAAAAATATTAATTTCTATTACATGGATTGCCTTTTCACTCTGATGATAGTGACCTATGATGAACAAACGTTTTAAATTTTGATGAATTTCAATTGTTCTATTTTTTCTTTTATTGCCTGTGTTTCTCTTGTCATATCCAAGAAATCATTGCCAAATTCAATATTATGAAGTTTTCCCCTATATTTCCTTCTAAAAGTTTTACAGTTTCAGCTCTCACATTGAGATCTTTGATTCTTTTTGAGCTAATTTTTTATATGGTGTAAGGTAGGGTCCAACCTCATGTATTGCCATGTGGACATCCAGTTTCCAAAACATTATTTGTGGTAAGACTGTCCTTTTCCCATTGAATGGTCTTGGCACCCTTGTTGAAAATCATTTGACCATATATGTAAGGGTTTATTTCTGGCTTCTCTATTCTATTCCTTGGGTTTTTATATATCTATCATGATGACAGTACCACACTGCTTTGATTACTGTTGCTTTGTAGTAAAGTTTGAAATTAGGCAGCATACGACCTCCAACTTTCTTCTGCACTTTCAAATTGTTTGCCTATTTGGGGTCCCTTGAGGTTCCATAGGAATTTTAGGATGAATTTTTCTATTTCTGAAAAGAAAGTCATGGGATTCTGATAGGGATTGTGCTCAATCTGTAGACTGCTTAGAGTAATACTAAGTAAAGTTAAAAATATTAAGTCCGCCAGCCGATGAACATTGGATGCCTTTCTCATTATTTGAGTCTTCTTTAATTTCTATCAGCCATGTTTTCTACTTCTTAGTATATAAATCTTTCACCTCCTTAGTTAGGCTTATTTCTAAGTATTTTCTTTTTGATGCTATTTTGAATAGAATTGTTCTCTTAATTTCCTTTTCAGATTATTCACTACAAGTGTATAGAAACACAATTGATTTCTGCGTGCTGATTTTGTACTCTGCAGACTTGCTGAATTTCTTTATTAGTTCTAACAATTTTTTTGTGGTATTGTCAGGGTTTTCTACGTGTAAGATCATGTTATCTATGAACAGAGATAATTTTACTCTTTCATTCCACATTGGATGACATTTATTTCTTTTTCTTTCCTAATTGCTCTAACTAGGACATACCATGCTATGTTTCATAGAAGTGGCAAAGGCCAGGATCCTTTTCTTGTTCCTGATCTTAAAGGAATAATTTCAGTCTTTCACCATTGAGTGTAATGTTAGCAGAGAGGTTTATATGTATAGCCTTCATTATGTTGAGACAGTTTTCTTTTATTACTGGTTTTTATCATGAGAAGGTGTTGAATTTTGTAAAATGCTTTTTTTGCATCAATTGATATGATCATGTGCTTTTTTCCCCAATCGTTCTATTAATGTGGTGGACTACATTGACTGATTTTTATATGTTGAGCCATCCTTATTTTACAGCAATAAGTCCCACTTGGTCATAGCGTATAATCCTAGGCTTCTGAATTTAGTTTTCTAGTATTTTGTTGAGTTCTGCTTCACTCTTATAAGAGATATTGGTCTATAGTTTTCTTTTTCTTGTAGCATCTTTGTCTGCCTCTGGTATCAGACTAATGTTGGCTTCATAAAATGAGTTAGGAAGTGTTTCCTCATCTTGAAATTTTTAGATGGCTTTAAAAATTACTCGTGTTAGTTCTTCTTTAAATATTTGATATACTTCTCCAGTGAGGCCATCAGAGCCAAAACTTTTCTTGATGGAGAGGTTTCTGACTACTGTTGATCTTTTTGACACACCAACTCTTGGTTCAATTGATTTTCTCTATTTGTTTTTCTATTGTCTATTTTGTTTATCTTTACTCTGATATTTATTATTTAAGTTACTTGATTATTTTCTTTTTTTCTTAGTTAATCTTGCTAAAGATTTGTCAATTTTGTTGATCTTTTTGAAGAACCAACTCTGGGTTTTATTGATTGTCTCCATTGTTTTTCTATCTCCGTTTTGTTTATCTGTGCTCTAATCTATGTTTTTTCCTTCCTTCTGAGAGCTTTGGATTTAATTTGTTCTTCTTTTTCTGGTTTCTTAAGGTAAAACTTACATTATTGACTTGCAATCTTATTTTTTTAATATAACCATTAATAGCTATGCATTTTCCTCTTATCACTGTTTTTGCAGTTTCCACTAAGCTTTAGTATGTCGTGTTTTCAATTTCATTTGTGTAAAGACATTTTCTAATTTCCCTTGTAACTTCTTCTTTCCCTGTTGGTTTCTTAAGAGTGTTTTGTTTAATATCCACATATTTGGATTTTTTAATGTGAATTTTCTAGTTTTCATTCAGCTTTTGATTTCTATTTTAATTCCATTGTAATTAGAAAAGATATTTTATTATATTACAACTTTTTAAATGTATTAAGACTTGTTTGGTAGCCTAATATATAGTCTACCCTGAAATATTTTCCATGTATGCTTGAGAAAAATGTGTATTCCATTGGTACTAGCTGCAGTATTCTGTATGTCTTACTTTTGTCATTTTAGGAATGTTTCTGTATGTCTTATAGCTTTTTTGTCCCTTATTTTACCATTACTGTCTTCTTTTGGCTTAGTGGATTTTTTTGTAGTGGCACATATTGATTCCTTTCTCATTTCTTTTTGTGTATACAGTATAGATATTTTCTTTTTGGTTAACATGGAGATTATACGTAACATCTTAAAGTTATAATAATCCATTTTAAGCTGATATCAACTTCACTTGTATACCAAAACTACTCATTTACAGTTCCAACTCTCCACTTTATCTAATCATCAAACGTTATTTCTTTATATATTGCACATCTATTAACATAGATTTATTATTTTTTTAAGCATTTGTCTTTTAAATCCCTTAGAAAATAAAAGATGACACTACAAAACAAAATCATAACAATGCTGGTTTTCACATTTGTCTGTGTATTTACTTTACTGGAGATTATTACATTTTCATATGACTTCCAGTTACTGTCTAGCATCTTTTCATTTCATCTTGAAGGATTCCCTTCAGAATTTTTTGTCAGGCAGGTCTGGTGGTAATGAACTCCCTCAGATTTTGTTTTTCTGAGACTATCTTAATTTCTCCCTCCTATTTGAAGGTTAGTTTTACTAGATATAAGTTTTAGGTTAACTTTTTTTTTCTTTTATCACTTTAAATTTATCACCCCACTGTCTTCTGTCCTGTAAGTTTTCTGCTGAGAAATCCTCTAGTAGTCTCATTAGAGGTTCTCTGTGCATGATGAGTCATTGTTCTCTTACTGCCTTTAACATTCTCTCTTAGTCTTTGGTTTTTGAGAGTTTGAATATAGTGTATTTTGGTCTTGGTTTTATTCTACTTGGAGATCATCAAGCTTCTTAGATTTGTAGATCCATGTCTTTCCTCAAATTTGGGAGATTTTCAGCCATAATTTCTTCAAATAATTTATCTACCCTTTTCTTTCCATATATTCTTCAGGGAATCCATAATATATACATATTGGTCCACTTGATGATATTCCATAAATCCTTTAGGCTCTGTTTACTTTTCCTCATCTTTTTTCTTTTTGCTATTCGGACGTGATAATTTCAGATGACCAGTCTTCGAGTTTATTGATGCTTTCTTCTGCTTGTTTAACTATGTTCTTGATCACCTCTAGTGAATTTTTCAGTTCAGTTATTGTATTTTGAAACTCTAGAAGTTGTGTTGGTTCTCCTTTTTAAAAACAATTTCAATCTCTGTTGATATTTTCATTTTTTTCACACATTGTTTCCTTGATTTCCTTTAGTTCTTTGCCTGTTTTTTCTTTAGCTCTTTGAGCATATTTAGCACAGTTGTATTAGTCTTTGTCTAGTAAGCCTAACACCTGTGCATATTCAGGGATGGTTTCTATGATTTCTTTTGTTTCTTTGAATGAACCACGTTTTCCTCTTTGTATGCCTTGTGATTTTTTTTTCTTGTTGAAAGTTGGGCATTAAAGAAAAAGAGCCATCTCTCCTAGTCTTTGAGACTGGTAGGGAAGACCTTGACTAATCAGCAGAGCATACTTTGAGACTAGGGATCAGTCCAGTTCTCATGTTTTTTTCTGAGCACATATCTTGTCAGAGACTGTGCCTGTGATTTTTTCCCAATTCCCCCAAATACACAGCTTCTTTTAAATGTCTTTATTTCCCACAGTATCTCATCCCAGTTTCTTCTCAGCACTTTCCATGTTTTATAGTATTCCTTTACCCATAATCTCTAGCCTCAGGTATTAGTGAGCCTCTAGTCTCTCTTCAGCTATCATAAGCTACAGCCATTGTTTCCCACAGCTGTTCCTAACCTGAGATCTGAGTTATGTCACAGTTCCCCATGTAAGCTCTCAGTCAGGCAAAACAGAGAACTGTCCTTGAGGCAGCCCATAAAGAGATTAGAACACTGTAAACAAAGTCCTCTCTACTTCCTCCAGCCCAAGTCAGGAAACCAGGACTAAGCCACTTCCTCCCAACCATGTTATGCCATGCCAGGGAGGAGATGTGTCAAGGACAAGTAAAAAATCATGAAATTTCCTACCATTTTGATTGTGGCTTTTTCTTGATTTGGTGTGTACTTGGTTGCTATAGATCTTTGACTGTTTTCCAGAGCTCCTATAAAGTTGTTTTAGCCAGGTTCCAGTAGATTTTTTTTTTTTTTTAATGTATACATAGGAAGATGAGGGCTTAGAACTTCCTAATCCACCATCTTGCTGACGTCACTCTTCTTTCCCCAGTTTTTTATTTGAAAGTATTTCAAGTCTACAAAAAGGTTTCAATAAAGGTATAATAAATACCCTTACTACTTAGATTCACAAATTCTTAAAATTTTGTCAAATTTGTTTTATATCTCTATAAAAATGTAAACTTTTTTTGAACCCTTTGAAAGCAAGTTACAGATATCATAACACTTGAACTTCAGTATGCCAACATGTATTTCCTATTTATAAGAGCAGTGTACTATAAAACTACAATATCATGTTTATATCTAAGAAAATAAGTATTAATTCAGTAATATCATCTAGTACCCATTCCATCTATAATTTTCTCCAATTGTTCCAATAATATTATCCCTCCTTTAGTTTTTCATGACTTTTTAGAGCACCCAAGCTACTTGTATTCTAGAACACATATTCTGAATTTGTCTGATCGTTTCTTTATTATCAGATTTAAGTTAAATCTTTTGGCAAGAATAGGAAAGATAATGTTCTGTAACTTTTTTGAATATTATCAGAAGACTCACTTTTCAGGGTGACCATGTAGTTGGTTATGCTAAATTTTGTTGAATTAGTTAAAATGATGACCATCTGATCTCTCAATTGTAATGATACTTTGGAAAAAATAAATAAACTATAGGAAAACAATTTGAGATCATGTGAAGATCTTACTCCCCAACAATCTTTTTTCTGCTCATTTAGCTGCCATTGATGATCTTTCCTGAATCAATTATTACCTTTAAAGTCGTATAATGCTGGTTTTCTATTTATCATTCATTCTTCATTTATTAACAGTCTCTCTATCCTGTTCCCTCTCCTTTTCTGTCTCTCAGAATCACTACAGACTCACAAGTTGTTTTAATTCAATGTGTTAAGTAGATGCTCACATTGTTCCTTATTTGGCTAATGAAGCCATTTTAAGTCACTTACTGTGCTTTTTTTGGGCCATGACTTCATTAGCTTTTTGCATCCCTTGACCCAGATTGGTAAATTTTCCAGCATTGCCTTGTCTTTTTCCTATTTCATATAGAGGCCAACCATTTCTCCAAGGAGTTCTATTTAATTTTAGTGTGGAATAATATTCAGAAAGCAATATCTAGGATCTGGGTGTGTTCAAGGACAGAGGAAAGACTAGGAAAGGAGTCACAAAAGGAGGCTGGAACATGATAAACAGAAGAGTGGAAGGAGATGAGAACAGAAAGGAAGTGGGGTCATATCATTGGAGCCTTATTAGCTATTATAAAGTTTGTGTTGTATTTTAAATGTAGTAAGAAGTCATTGAGCAGGTAAATGATTTAACCTTATTCATGTTTTTAAAAGATCATTGGGCTGCAGTGTAGAACATAAGCTAGTTCTACAGAAATGACTTTGAATATCTGATCCAGGTGGGTTATTTTCCAGAAAAATATGAATTAGCAAAACTCACCCATAATAGATATTTTTAAACACTTAAAATGCAATAAAATAAAAAAATTGGAAAAACAACTACTGTCTCCAAAGCAGAAGACTCAGATGTGACTATTGATGAGTTTCACAAGATCAAAAATAAAATATATTTAAAACAACCCCTATTCAAAATCGATGTTAAAAGCTGACAAAGATAGAACATTTAAAAATTGTAGACTTAATCACTAATGGATAGCATTGCAGAAATTCTAAATAAAATATTAGCAAATAGCATTCTTCTTTTAGAATTTATACCCTTGGATAAAAGATTATGTGCCTGGAGTCTATAACATTAAACTATTCATATAATTTGTTTATCAAACATTAAGGGGGTAAAAATAACATTTTCACCCAGAGAGCTAAAAATTTGTGACATCAATTCCTACCTTCCATTTCTTTCAGATAAAAGTGGACTAAAGCCACTATTTCCATCACAAGAGCATTAACTCTCATCAGTCTGAGATACTAACTTAATATTTTCTCTTTCATACACTTAAAAGTTTTATTATTCAGTTCCAACCATACACCTATGATGTAGAAGATAGTATTATTACATCTCACTTTACAAATAAGAAAATGAAATTTCAAAACATAAAGCAAACTGGTAAATACCATCCCACCAGGAAGTGGTGGAGATAGAATTTAACGTGAGTCATTTTGCCGCAAAGCCAACTCATTACTCTACACCAAGCCTGGGCTCTAATGATTGAGTAAAGTTCCTTCCATGCTTCAATTTTTATATAACCACCAGGCAGCCTTCATCATGTTATCTGATTTTCCATATAGATTTGATAAAAAGGGAATGAGCAAGTATCAGTGGTGGCCACTGAGTGTGCATATGCATGTGTGTTTTCTAGACACATAGGAATCTTTCTAATAACTCATGATCAAAGCATCCTTAAAGCAAGTGTGTTTATTTTCAACCATGGATAACAATATTGTAATCATTTAGCAAAATTTCAAATTATTAATAAAATAACCTCTTTATCTTTGCAGCTTGTTTGGGCCACTTCTTACCTCATTGGCTGTGGCATATCATCATGCTCCAAAAGAAGGTCAACTCAGTATCTCTACGTTTGTCACTACTGTCATGAGTATGTATTATACAGCTTGGTTTCACATAGCTTTTAGAAATACATCCCCCTCACATAATCTAGCTTCTCAAACTTTATAAAAGAAAACTCAAATAAAGATTCTATTTCAGTTAAGCAGAACTTTAGTTATATAATATCATTTAGACAATGCCTAAAACATTACACACACACACACACACATATATACACACACACACAGGTGTTTTCACTTAAATATTTTTTCTAAATAAATCTATATCTCATTAATAGAATGTTCAAGTTCAGAAATATTACCAGTAGTCTTGCTATGTGTCGTTGAATCTTCAAGTAGTATTAGTTAAGAGAACCAAATTTGAGCCAGCTTACACAAAGAAAGAAGATTTACTTCAACATTGAAAGACTATTTTTAGAACACAAGGGCAGAAATGCAGTAGAACATCAAGAATGAATATACAGGAGAAGCCAAGTGTTCTTGTATTTAGCTTTTTAGTCTAACTATTGGTATATGTCTTTTCTTTATAAATTAAGTTTTCATGTTGTCAAAGGGGTGAGTAAAAATTCCTAGAAGAGATAATCTGATTGCTTCAGTGAGGAGCTGGTGTGCTTCTTTGCCCCATCAACTGTGCTTATATGAGTTCCAAGCATCGTGCTTAACCACTGTCTCCCATGTGTGTAGCACAATAAAAGATGTTCAATATGAATCAACAAAAATGATTTATCTGATAATACACTACCATATTTACACTTTAAATGAGATCTCCAATATTACTATACATTCAATAAATATAACATACTCATATAATAGCTCTATATGAGTTATTTTCTGGTCTTGTCATGTCGTTACTTCAGTAGATATTTCTTGTGATTCTATCTATATAATTAGGGCTGAAGACAGTAAGATTTCTTTGCATCTATAACATATCGATTGTACTAAATCTTTGCAGGGGCTGGCGGTCTGTGGTGAACTTCTAACAATACAAAAGAAAAAAAGTGGAGCTATGATAGGAGAATTTTCTCAGCCAAACACTAAGCCAAGTGTCTCACAAAATCCCTTACTGAATGAAGTAGTCAGTTTCTTTTATAAAGTAAAATTTTAACAGCTCAGATATCAAAGAGAAAAATATCAAACAGAATATCATTTCAACCAGAACATTTACTTTATTTTTACTGATATTAAGTAAGAATCAGCTGTAAGCCACATTATTTTCTTAGATATCTTTGGTTAAGACTGTCTTCTCTGAAATTTCAAATTAGCTCAGAACTGGAAATTCTCATCTACTCTCACTCTCCCCCAACTCTAACACTTTAAATTTAGCCCTGCTGATGTACTTTCATCTTTTATAACACTCCATGTGTTTCTACAAAAGACACTAACATATATCAAGTTTCTCATGACATGGTGCAAGATGAAATTAGAACATCTTCAATTTGAGTCACTTAAAATTTTTCTTAACATTGTTGAGAACCGTGTTCTTTTGCATGACTGTTTACCAAGTCCCTATGGGTATAAAAAACAAAAGTGTCCTATTGTGAGTGGCTCGAAAGCCCTCCTGCTTGTTGGGACTTGACTGTTACGGTCTCAGTCCCGTTAGAACTTGACTGTCCGAAGAGGTGCAAATTGCCTCAAAATGTTGTTAGGACCCCAGAGTCACGTGTTGTACATGCAAAAGAATAAGTTAGCATCATTATAAGTCTAGAAGTCTTAAACCTGTCTCAAAGATTATCAGCATTAGGGGCCGGCCCCGTGGCCGAGTGGTTAAGTTCGCACAATCTGCTTCAGCGGCCCAGGGTTTTGCCAGTTCAAATCCTGGGCACAGACATGGCACTGCTCATCGGGCCATGCTGAGGCAGCATCCCACATGCCACAACTAGAAGGACCCACAACTGAAAATACATAACTATGTAGCGGGGGGCTTTGGGAGAAAAAGGAAAAATAAAATCTTAAAAACAAAAAAGATTATCATCATTAGATACAAGCGGTTTTCAAAAACTGTTTTAAAGTTGATTGTAATAGAGAGTAAAATGTTATATGCATTTTCCAAACATCAGCTTTATTAGCCACTTTTTTCTTTATTCTTTTTTAAGGGGAAATGATCCCGACAAAAAGAACGTGCCTTATAATATGGGAACTCCGTGTAAAGACTGTCCAAATGACTGTGAAGATAGACTTTGTAGTAAGTTTTACATCTCAGTTTGCTTAGTGATGGCTGTTGATCCGGGGGCCATCTGTACTTCAAATCAAGCGTTTAACAATATTGCACTTTCCTAGCCCTTTCATCTCAATCCTCACACTTGAGATATCAACATTATTTCTGATTTCCCTTTCCCCATCCCCAGTGTGACCAAGAAGACCATTAATTAAATCCATGGGAATGGAAATTAGAAATGTTTAGGTCTACACACTCAAGTACCTACCTTAAAGCTTAAAGACCTTACTAGGGGCACCCCGGTTAAGATGTTAATATAAGCATAAATTTTTCTCTGCTTTAGAAAAAGTTTCTGGGCTCTCTTACTGTGGCCCCAAAATTAGACACGTTGTTTTCAGGTTACCAGTGTTCTCAGATTGCTTGCCACTCAATAATTCTCCTACCTATCTGACCACTTATTATGGCATATAAATTCCTACAAAGTGATCCTCATTCTTCCAGGTTCTCACTGACACATCGGAAGAGATTAGCTGATGATTACACTCTACCCTTAAGTACTTCCTTTTATTTCTAATGTAAATCTTACCTACAATGTACTATTAACCAAATGGGTTCCATTTACATGTTCATTCCCTTAGATAGCAAAAGTTCCTTTTTCTAGAGCCTCCTGCAAAAGTAATTCCTTAATTTGGGGATAATGTTGACAAGACAATTTTCAATAAATTTGTAGAGAAATAACGAACCCAGAAAAAATCTTTCTTCAGACTTGGAAGGCTACAAGGCTTATTTTCCTTCATCTGCTCAGGTTGTCACTGTTTGCTTTTAAAGTAAGGAAAATGAATTCTTTGTTTTTCTTTTTCTCACTCTCTCTTTCTCTATGTAGATGTGTATAGAGAGAGAGATCTAGATATCTATTCTCTTTTCTCCCTCATTCTCTTTCATTCTCTCTCTCTTTTCCTCTTTCTCTCACTTTCAACTTCACTTTTTAGACTCCATTTCTGAAAAGAAATGCAGTTGGAGAAAGACAAACTACCTACTAATTATCTGTGATGGGAGTAATGGGTTACGATTTTTACCAAAAGATAAAAGCAATGTTTACAATGGTATGAAAAATGTAATAGAAGTAAAATGAGAGTAGGAAAGAGAGAAGTATTACTCAAGAAGATTGAATCTCTGGCATAGAAGAAATACATCTTAAGCCCTTTAGTCATCCATAAATGTATGAGAAGATGACAGATACTAAAGAAAGATCCATATCTAAGATTGGGACACACTGGAGTGGAAATAATGCTAGAAATATAAGACCTGCATATGCAGATATAATCAGTTGAGTATAATTCAAGTAAATTTTATGAAAACAAAACTTCTACTTATAAAATAGAGGAAATTATATAAATTACTGTAATTTATATAATGCACACAATATAACTGCAGCAAAAGCAGTTCTAAGAGAAAAATTCATAGCAATAAATACCTATATTAACAAAAAAGAAAGAGCTCAAATAAACGTTAACTATATGCTTCAAGGAACTACAAAAAGAAGAACAAACTAAGCTCAAATTTAGTAGAAGGAAGGAAATAAAAAGGATCAGAATGGAAATACATGAAATGGAGACTAAAATGACAATAGAAAAGAGCAATGAAACTAAGCTGTTTTTTGAAAAGATAAACAAAATAGAAAAACCTTTAGCTATACTTACCAAAAAAAGAAAGAGAGAAAACTCAAATGAGCAAAATTAGAAATGAAAGAGAAGAAATTACAACGGATACCACACAAATAAAAAACATCAGAAGAGACTACTGTGAAGAAATTGGACAATTTAGAAGAAATGGATAAATTCCTGGAAACACATAATCTACTAGGACTGAATCGTGAAGGAGTAAAAAATCTGAACAGACTCATTACTCATAAGAAGATTGAATCACTAATCAAAAAACCTCTCAACTAAGAAACATCCAGGATCAGATGGCTTCGCTGGTGATTCTAGAAGACATTTAAAAAAGAATTAATACCAACACCTCTGAAACTCTTCCAAAACACTGAAGAGGAGGGAACACTTCCAAACTCATTTTATGAGGCAAAAATCAGACAAGGACACTACAATAAAAGAAAACTACAGGCCAATATACCTGATGAAGCTAGGTGCAAAAATCTCAAGAAAACATCAGCAAACCAAAGGTAACAATACATTAAAAGGATCATATGCCGTGATCAAGTGAGATTTATTCCAGGAGTGCAAGAATGGTTCAACATCCACAAATCTGCCAGTGTGATACACCTCACTAACAAAATGAAGGATAAAAGTCGTATGGTCATCTCAATAGTTGCAGAAAAAGCACCTGACAAAATCCAATATTATTTCATGATAAAAATTCTCCACCACTGGAGATAGAGGCAACGTATCTCAACATACAAAAGGTTATATATTACAATCCCACAGCTAACATCATATTCAACAGTGAAAAACCGAAAGCCTTTCCTCTGAGATCAGGAAGAAGACAAGGATGCCTACTCTTGCCACTTTTATTCAATATAGTGCTGGAAGTCCTAGCCAGAATATTTAGGCATGAAAAAGAAATAAAAATCATCCAATTCAAAAAGGAAGTAAAACAGTGTTTATGTGCAGATGACATGACATTATATGTAGAAAACCCTAAAGACTTCACTAAAAAACTAACTGAATTAATAACTGAATTCAGTAAAGTTGCAAGATACAAAATCAATATGCAAAATACAATTGCCTTTATGTGCCCTAACAATAAACTATCAGAAAGAGAAATTAAGAAAACAATCCCAGTTATAATTGCATCAAAAAATACCTAATTTAGAATTAATTTAATTTAATTTAGAATAAATTTAATTAAGGAGGTGAAAAATCTATACACTGAAAATTATAAGACACTGATGAAAAAAATTGAAGACACAAACAAATGGGAAAATATTCTATTTTCAAGGATTGGAAGAATTAATAACGTTAAAAAAAGGCATACAACTCAAAGCTATCTACAGATTCAATGCAATCCCTATCAAAATTCTAATGGCATTTTTCACAGAAATAGAACAAACAATCCTGAAATTGTTATGGATGCACAAAAGACCTCAAATAGCCAAAGCAATCTTGAGAATGAATGAAAGTTTATCCCTTTATATACAGCTTATGATGTTGATGATTTCAGAATGGCGTTATAACTGATAAGTATGATTTATCTCCAATGTGCTTAGATATAGTCCTACCAGAAAAAGTGATGAAAGAAATCTGTTTAACATCAAACCAGACTTTAATCTTCTTTGCTTTAATAACTGACCCCATTTAACTCATTAGCTGTCTTCCATTCTGATTTTACTAGCTCGTGATAATCAAAATTAATTAGCTATTCTTAATAAATTTTATGTTTATGTCTTTAAGGAGATGATCTCTTTTCTCAGTGACTGTGATTTCTTGAGATAATATTACGCAAATATGTTTTGTTCTTTCAGCTAACCCCTGCCTCTACTATGATGAATCCAATAAGTGTAAGACACAAAAAGAAGCTCTTGGATGTAGCCACTTGTCAGTTAAACTGTTCTGCAAAGCTACTTGTCTGTGTGACACTGAGATAAAATAACCTTTGTTATTCGCAACTGTAATGTGCTGTTGGGGAAACGTCTACTAGATTATATCTTTTACTTTACTTGCTTCAGTAGCTTCTGCTGAATTTCTTTTGGTTTTAATTGCACTCAAAATCCTAATTTTCACTAATCATCTATGGGCATCAGATATTTACATCAATGCCCCCAACTTCTGTCCTGATACATCCTCATGTAAAGTCTTAAACTTTCTTCCTGCTGGAGTGAAAGATCCATTTCAACACCTTTCTCATCTTTAAATGATGTGCCTTGTCGTGCATAAGTTGTCATAACTCAACTGATGGTATGACGGGGCCCCTCAAGAACCACCTGTGCTGGGGGAGGGTCTTCCATGTTTAACTCCTCCCTCTGCTCTCCTGTGTCTCCAGCCACCCTGATATTTGTCTTCCCTGCACAACTTAACATGCACTAGCAATTCTTCACTTCTTAACTTTGCTTCTATTTTAGATCAATCATTAAAATAATCCACAAAGCACACAGAGAGTCCAGTCTTCTTACTTGCAAGGTAAATATTGTTGAATTGAAAGTAGTTTAAACATCTCATTGTTTCATTGTCATATCTATACACGAGTGTAAATCAGGAAAAAACAAAAACTGTGTCCTTAAATTAACCAAATATGTATTCTACAGTGATTACACACAAGGTGTGATCCATATATAAAGGCTATTGTCTCCCTCATTTCAAATGAGGGGTAAATATTAGTGAATCTGAACATTACAGAAACCTGGTGAAGTGTATGGCTACACAGAGAGCCCAGTGCCTGGTATTTTGTTTTCATTTTTGGGTTTTCTTTTTTCATAAATGTGCCCTTTCTTTCTGAAATTTTATATAAAAGAAAATTCCCTAGGTTTCCTCCGTTTGTCCTATCACATATAACACAGAGGCAGTAGAAACCAAGTTTCACTTCAAGGTGAGAATTAGTTGTGTGACCCTAAATAAGCTTCATATGCCAAATATCTCCAAGGAAATGTGACACAAATTACAGTGCAATTTTTTGAATGCTTCCCAACTCACCCCCATGACTGCAGCTTACCAGGAGTCTTTATAGACACAGCAGCACACTTACTCACAGAATGACATCTCATGGGATTTTCCAGGGGCACGGTCATGGGGAGTGCCATGACTGGACTCAGGATCTGGAAGGCACTGTTCTGTTAAAACCAGATATGTGTGTGTGTGTGTATATATACTAATGAACGTCCAGAAGACCTGTGAAACAAAGGCGGTAAAGAGCATGATTGAGGACAAAAATCTGATGAGGTTGTTCGTTTAATAACGGAGAGCAAATGAGCACAAGTATGGATCCAGATTACAGGGAAACTTGAAGGAAATCCAACCTGAATGACTTGGATTTGATGCCCTGGGTAAAGGTAACACATTCCTGATTCTCAATTTTAAGAGCTCTACAATACTATATATATATATATATACAATAATATATATATAGTGAAATAATTACCACAATAAATTTAGTTAACAATCATCACCTCACATAGTTACAAATAATTTTTTCTTGTGATGAGGACTTTTAAGGTCCAGTTTCTAGCCACTTTCAAATATACAATACAGAATTGCTAACTGCAGTCACCATGTGTACATTACATCCACAGAACTTATTTAACTTGTAACAGCAAGTCTGTGCCTTTGACCACCTTCGCAAACAACCCCTACCCCTCACCCCTGCCACCACTCCTCCCCACTCAATTCTGCTAGATACCAATCTGTTCTGTTTCCATGAGTTCAGTTTTTTTAGATCCCACGTATAAGTAAGATCATATGGTATTTATCTTTTTCTGACTTATTTCACTTCATATAATGCCCTCAAAGTCCATCCATGTTTTTCAAATCGCAAGATTTCATTCTTTTTTAATGGTTGAACAATATTCTGTTATATATATTCTTACATATATATATATATATATATATATATATATATATATATCTCACTTTTTTTATCCATCATCCATTGATGGAAATTTAGGTTGTTTCCATTTCTTAGCTATTGGAAATAATGCTGCAAAGAACACGGGGGTGCAAATATCTTTTTGAGTTAGTGTTTTCATTTTCTTTATTTATTCTTGAAATACTCAGAATTGAAATTGCTGGATCATACGGTAGTTCTGTTTGTAACTTTTTTAGGAACCTCCGTACTATTTTCCATAGTGGTTGCACTAGTGTACATATCTACCAACTGCGCACAAGGGTGAGTTTTTTCCCATATCCTAGCCAAGACTTCTTATTTCTTTTCTTTTTGATAATAGCCATTCTAACAAGTGTGACATGATATTTCACTGTGGTTTTGCTCTTCTTTTCCTTGATGATTAGTGATATTGAGCACCTTTTCAGGTACCTATTGGCCATCAGTATACCTTCTTTGGAAAAATGTCTATGCAGGTCCTCTGCCCGTTTTTCAATTAGATTGGCTTTTTGCTATTGAGTTCTATAAGTTCCTTATATAGTTTGGATATTAACCCCTTATCGGATATATCATTTAAAAATATGTTCTCCCATTCAGTAGGTTTCCTTTTCATTTTATTGATGGTTTCTTCTGCTGTGCAGAAGCTTTTTAGTGTGATGTAATCCCACTTGCTTATTTTTTCTTTTGTTGCCTTTGTTTTTGGTGTCAAATCCAAAAAATCTTCACCAAAGACCAATATCAAGGAGCTTACTGCCTATGTTTTCTTCTAGGAGTTTTATGGTTTCAGGTCTTACATTCAAGTCTTTAATTCATTTTGAGTTAATTTTGTGTATGGCATAAGATAGTGGTCCAGTTTCATTCTTTTGCATGTGGCTGTCCAGTTTTCCCAGCACCACTTTTGAAGAGACTGTCCTTTACCAGGAGCCTTGATGAAACCTCTTGCTTCTTTCCCCTCAGAATCTCTGTACATTTCACTCTTTCAATGTGGAGCTGGAAACTTCCCACTTTACAAAGAAGAATGTGAGATGTGTCTGGATGGAATAGAGGGGAAGGCAAATGAGTCATAGGATTGGCAAAATAATTTTTTAAATGACAGAACATGGTTAGAGAAGAAATAACAAGCAAGAAAGAGCTTAAGAGGGCCCAGCTCCATGGCTGAGTGTTTAAAGTTACACGCACTCAGATTTGGCAGCCCAGGTTCATGGGTTTGAATCCCAGGTGCAGACCTACTCCACTCACCAGCCACACTGTGGAGGTGTCCCACATACAAAAAATAGAAGAAGATTGTCACAGATGTTAGCTCAAGGAGAATCTTCTTCAGCAAAAAAAAAAATAAATAAATAAAGGAGCTGAAGAATAGAGAGAATGCAGAGTGACCTTCAGGGCTACATTATGTTGAAGAGCATTCAGGGTGAGCAACCTTAACAATCTGGGAGAACAGAGATCCTGGTTGGAGAAGGAAACACTTGACCTTTAGAGGTATGGCATTTTGGGGCAATCATAATATTCCAGATAAGACCAAGAAAGAGGAAGAGATAAAGAGCATTAAAGGAGAAATTTAAAATAGGAAGAATTCAAGGGCCTAGGACATCAGAAGTTACAGTCATCCACATGCATATTAAAGCCTCTTAGGTTGACTATGGAAACCAAAACAAGAGGATGAATTTGTTTCAGGAGACCAAAATTGTATGAACGAGGAGAAGTGACAGGAAAACCATTATTGGAGAGTAAATGTCAGGGGAGATAGTGTTAGACCTAAACATCATGAGGCCATTTATTTTTCTTTTTAGTAACTTGTAAGTTGAAAGGTAAAAAATTAAAAGAATACTCACAAATTCTAGATTGTAGACTGAGTTTGAGTTTTCTATATTTTAAAATTTCTTATACATATGGATGCAAAAATTGGTGTATATTTCATATGAATAAAACAAAGACATAAACCCCGATTAATGATGCTTGAGGGGGCCGGCCCTGTGGTGTAGTGGTTAAGTCTGGCTCACTCCACTCAGTGGCCCGGGTTCATGGACTCGGATCCCAGGTGCAGACCTACATCATTCGTCAGCCATGCTGTGGTGATGACCCACATATAAAGTGGAGGAAGATTGGCACAGATGTTAGCTCAGGGCTAATCTTCCTCAGGAAAAAAAAAAAATGATGCTTGAGGTTTTGTACTCAGTAATGACATTCCCAGTTTGGGTTCTCCCAAAAAACCTTTACATGAGAACTCAAGTGCGAGAGATTTATTTGCAAGATGAAGTGAACACTTGAGTGGGGCAAGAAATGAGTCAAGGAAGGGAAGTCATCAGTAAAGAGTGCAATATCAAACCTTCTACTGTACTTAGTATTGAGCAATAAAAAATGCTACAATATGGCTGAAAGTATCAACTATAAATTTAAAAGCCCTGTTCACAGAATATCCAGTGCACTATGCTATAGACGAGTGTAATGTCACACTGATTCAGAAACACTCAAGACTAGCAATTGAGAAATGGAATCCACAAATTCAAAAATACTATATATTACTGTTTATTCACTTTAAACTATGAATTCATATCACTCGTAGGTCTACAAATGCTATATTTAATGTGACAAATTCTGTCTGAAGGAAGTAAGAATGATTAGTAATAGTCTGGTAACAGGCAAAATAGTCAGAGTCCCATATAATACACTATTCACTGAATCGCCAACTGTCCAAGAAAAAAATTGCTACCACATGTAACATTGTCAAGAAGGAAATAATTTCATCAGTCAGCAACATGCTGAAGATGGTAAGATTAGTTAAACAGCAGCAATAATGAAGCCAATAATAGTAATAGTGTTTATTGAGTTTTTATTAAGTTCTAAGCACTTTTAATATACTAAAAGTTTGGTCTTCACAAACAAACCTATAACGCACCAGCAGAAGAAATGGAGGCCCAGAGGAGGTAAATAACTTTCCCAAATTCATACAGTTAGTAAATAAGAGATCAACAATTTCAACTCAGACAGTCTAATTTCATTCATAATGTACCCTAGGACAGTGCTTCTCAAACATGAGCGTGCTTAAAAATCACCTGAAGAACGTGGTAAAGCACAGGTTCCAGGGCCCCACACTCTGAGATCCTGATTTGGGGGGTCTAGGGTGCAGACAGCCCCAAGCTCTCAGCTGGTGCTGATTCTGAGAGTCAATATCATCACTACGGTAAAGTTTGTTTAACAAGTTACAGAGGCATTTCATAGCTGTCTTCATGGAGCAGTAGCCCAAAGGCTGACCCTATCTGAAAATCAAGATGTCCAGAATCTAAGCCAATGGATGCTGCCAGATAAACAAATATTGACAAATCTGTTTCCCAGTTCCCTTGCATCCCATAAAAGGAGAGAGAAATTGTGTTACCACTATAAACCTGCTGTGTGAGCAGACTAGGTGCTATAAAACAAAACAAATGTAGGGAAGTCTCAGGCATATGATTAGACTCGCATGTATTGTCTCCCAGAAGCATCACTCAGGTTTTTGGGAAATCGTATCCTGGTTCCTGGAACCTTGGATGGGTGTAAAGGAACAAGGGTTAGAAATGG